CCGCTCCAGCAGCAGCGGCGGTGCACGGCAGGCTGTCGGGCGCTCGCTCAGGCGCGCGGAGTTCTGCTGGTGTAACGCTCAATCCACAGTCGTTGCAAACGGGGGGGGGGGGGTGTCGCCGTGCTCAGGGATTTGACAAGGGGCAGGTTTGCTGGATTGGCAAGATGCTGAGCAGCGGCCTGCCTAGATACGGTAAACCAAGCGCTATTGCATGGTGGCCAACGGCCAGGCAGGTTGTCCTTCGACTGGGTGGTGCAGCATTGCTGCTTCGGCTGCGGCTCGTGAAGATAATGCGTGCAGAGCAGCTGAAAATGCTCTTGGTGACAACATTGCGTTGTCGGGTGCTGTAGGGCCAGAAAAGAATCATCACGCTGATGAGAGCAATGCAAATGCGTAACAGACTGAATGGCATCTGGCTTGTCAGCTGCTGCCACAACTGGAGCGCAGCCTTGCTGCGCGGCTGTTCTGCACTTTTGCACTGGTGACAACCGTGCATGCGGACAAGTGAAGGGTGTGAGCTGCGCCCTGCGGCGTCGCTGCACATGGGGCGAGGACTCCACTTGTGGTCACTTGTACGTAGCATCAAGCTGTACAAAACATGATGATAGGTTGTTTACCAACGACTCAAGCACCGTCTATTTGTTCCCTCGTCCGTGGTCAACGCTGATCTAGGCCCGCCGCCCATAAAGGGTCTGGAGGCCCCAACAGCTCCCCGAGAAAGCCATGGAATCGCTTACGGACCCTCCCCCTGAAGGTGCGGTGCGCCCTGCCGAGCTGCAAGCGGAACTGCGCGCAAAGGAATGCCAGAGCTGTGAGCACTTCCATGCAAACTTTTGCAGAGACTCCGAACGATCTGGGTGAACTTGGCAGGTCGTTTCTGCCGCCCTTCGCAAATGCGGAGAACAAGGCTCTCAATCTGCACATCAGGGTACGCAGCCTGTGCACCATGTGAACGGTGTATGTAGCGTTCAAAATGGGTTCCATGCTTGTATGACGCCGGTGGTGGCTGGCTCGTCCGAACACGGGTACTGGTCGCCGACGGACGGCAGACGCTTCATGCTGCCACCGCACAGCAACTTGAGAAGCAGCTGGAGGCGGTGGACATTTCCATCGAGGAGCATGGCGGCCGCATCACCGTCATGGAGGAGCACCTCAAGAACGTGCGCCAGGAGATTGCCTACACGGAGAGCAGGGTGAGCTCGGCCGCTGCCTGATGCATGGCTGGAACTGTGTGGCATGGCGCTTGCAGGCAGGCGCGGGCAAGCCGGCGATGCCCAGGCACAATAAAACCAGCATGGTGGCTGGTTGTCATCCGATTGCAGATGGACGTGGAGCGCAAGGAGATCGAGACGGAGGCGCACCTGCGCATCATGGCCGAAAAGGAGCTGGTGGGGAATCGTCGTTTGGCCGCTGACCTTCCATTGCAGCAGGGAGCTGGGGGAAGGTCTGCGAGCGACTGAGGCCTGTACGCGATACCCGCAAGTCAACGCCCGCCACAGATCTTGCGCCGGCGCAAGCGACGACCCAAAGCTCCCGCCCGCCTGGCCCGGCGCGGCGCGCCTGACGCCGCCTGTCGCTCGCCCCCGCAGGCGCGCATGCGAGCGGACATCGCGCGGCTCGAGAAGGAGAGGGCCGAGCTGACTGACAGGGTGCACGGCCTGCAGCAGGTGAGGGGCACCCTGAGTGTCATGCTGCCATGCATGCACCGACCCCCATGGCAGCATGCGCCACCATGCATGAGGGCGTCACCGCCCCTGCCGCAGTGACGGGGCCGGATATACTGCGGCGGCCGGGGCCGCGTCGCTCGTTCGGCCCCCATGCGGCGACATCGCGCGCCCTCGCGCCGCCGCGCCGCCGCCCATGCGCTGCTCCTCCCGCCGCCCATCCACTGCTCCCGCCGCCGCCTGCGCCAACCGCAGGGCATCATCCGCGGCAGCGAGCGCCTGGACCAGTTCCGGCTGGCTATGAGCTGGAACCAGGAGGAGCTGGAGCAGTGGGCAGCGGCGGAGAAGGCCAAGGAGGAGGACAGCCGCGCGGTGGACGACTACAGGTGGGCGCTGCATCAGAGGCGCGGCGCCGCGTTGCCGCGGCTTCGCACAAGCCTGCGGCCGCGGCCGGGCGCCTGCATGCGCCCGAAACCGCGCGCGCGGGCGGCAGCAGGGGCCGCGGCGGTCACGGCGCCGCGGGCCGTTGTTGGGCGCGGCTCTCGCGCCGGGCGGCCGGCCGCATGTTCCCCCTCTGAGAGTTTGCGTCGGCCGCGCGGTTCCCGTGTGCAGGCGGCAGGACGAGGGCAAGATGAAGGAGCTGGGGCTGGCCGTAGAGAAGCTGACGCGGGAGGTGGCCGCCAAGAAGGACGACTTGGAGGCAGAGGTGAGGGGGGAGGCGGCGGTGGCTGGCAAACACCGCGGCCGCGACTGTGCTGGCCACCGTGTCGGCGAAGGCCCGTACCCGTCTGCGGCGGACAGGCGGCCTGGCACAGCATGCGGGGCAGCTGTGCATTGCGCCGTCAAGCGGGGGCGCAGGGGCCGGGGGTGGATTTGTTCGTCGACAGGCAGCCGCCGCAAGGGGCAGGTGCCATTGGGAGAGCGGGGATTGTCTGGCAATCCATGGGTTGGGGGAGCGAGCAGGCGGCCTGACACCCAGGAGCAAGGCGTTTCGGTTGACGGCTGGGGTGCCGCGAGTCTCCCTCGCATGCTGCCGGCCCGCGTCGACGCCCGACGCGTCTCTCCCAACCCGCCGCCCCGGCCCCGTGCAGGTGACCGAGACGCAGGCCGCGCAGCTGCAGCTGGACCGCGCGGCCGAGGACTACCGCCGCCTGCACTCTGAGCGCCAGCAGCTGATCCGCCAGTGGGACGAGGCCGCCACCGCCATGCGGCGCCGCGACGCCGCGATTGGTGCCGCGGGCGCCGCGTTCGCGGAGCGGAGGTTGGCGCTGCGGCGGCGGAAGGGCGAGCTGGACGCGCGGGCGCGGCTGCTGGAGGGGGAGGTGGCGGCCAACCGCGAGCTTGAGGCCCGCATAGCCCACTACGAAAAGGAGGTGGTGAGCTGCGCTGCTATGGGCTATCTGCATGGCTTGCTGGGGCCCTGCTTCGCCGTGCCTCCTGTGGCGTCGGGCGGCGGGGTGCCGGTTCAGCTGCGCTTCTCAGCCCCGCACACTGCGATCGCGGCCCGCATGCCGCGCGGCGGAGGTCGTGCGCGGCGCCGGCTGGCCCGTCGCGACAGCCGGGGTGGCGAGGTCAGGTTGCTCAGAAGGTCGGGGTATCAGGAGGTTCCGCACTGCGTGCGGTGGCGCGTGCCTGTCATACGGCTTTGAGAATTTTGAGGCTAGAGTGTGCCATGATCACCATCGACCTTTGCCTCCCTGCTTTGATTGTCGTGCAGGCGGCGCAGCGCGAGGCGCACCGCGCGGAGTCTGGGAAGCTGTCAGAGTTGACTCACCAGGTGCGGCTCGTGGGGGCGGGACGAGGCGCAGGTGGCGGCTGCCCATGCGCGTGCAGGGCCGCGGGCGGCGGCGCTGATTCACAGAGCCCCGGACGGTCTTAGGAACGGGCGGCCCGCAGGGGCGAGCGGCGCCGCGAGCCACTAGTCGGCGGTGTTGGCTGCAGGCTGAGTGCTAGACCTCAGGGCTCCTGGTTTTCACTGCCCCGCTCCCCCCCTTCTTGCCTGCCCATTTCCCATCTCCCTGTCCTGCCCCACACCCGTTCTCACACTTGCCCCCACCTTCCCTTGCACGGCAACCCCACCCCCGCCCCAGGTGGACCTGCTCAAGGCCACCCTGGCCAAGGCGGCCAACGAGCTGTCGGGACAGGGCGCAACCAACGAGGCCGCGAGGCAGGGGCTCGAGGCCAAGCGGTGCGTATGCGTGTGTCCCAAGGGGGCAGGGGAGCTCCCAGCTGGGAAGGGGCGGGGCTGGTCGGGGCGGATTGCACGCGAGACATTTGTGTGCATGCCTAATCAGTATGCTGCCACGTCGTAATGGCAGCCGATAGGGTCGAGTGTCTGGCCGATGCTTGGGGCCTCCAGCCTGCATGCAACTACGCGCCTGCTGCCCGCCCGCGCGCGCGTGCGCGTGCAGCCTGCGGCTTGAGGCTGTCCGGCGGCGCCAGGCAGCACTGAAGCGCCAGCTGGAGGAGGGTTACGGGCAGCTGGGGGGCCTGGAGGCGCGCGTGGCGCAGCTGGAGGGCGTGCGGCGCGGCGAGGAGGGGCGGCTCGAGGGGCTGCAGAGGGAGGTGCGCCGCGCGCGCCGCACTCAGGGGGCCCGCGCGGCGCAGAGGATGCGCTGTGCACCGCACATGCGCCCGGCAACGGCCTGATGCGGTGTGGTTCACTTCGTGAGTTGTTTTGGTTTCTAATCGTGGGGAGACAGGCGCGCCTTGGGCTGGCGGCGGTCCGCGGTGCCGGTCTGCTCGGGCTGTCGCATGCGCGGCGCTCCGGCGCGCGCTCACCGCCGCTCAGCCCCACGCCCTCTCAAGCAGCCCGGCAGCCCGGCAGTCACGCCTCCGTCTGTCACAACAGCTTCCGCAAACTGCCGCCGCTTGCGGCGGTGGACGGCGCCTGCTGCCTCCTCCCCCTTAGACACACCCCACC